GGGGGCTTTGGGGGGGGTGGGTTTTGGGGTGCTGCAGGGAGGTGTGGGATGAGCTTGGGGTACCCTGAGCATCCCGCTGCCGTGTGGGGGTGCAGGAGGTGGGGGAGGGCAGGGTTGGGAGCTTTGGGGGGAGGTGAGGGCGTTGCTGGGTCACGCCAGGGCAGTCAGATGCTCAGGCACCTCCCTGGCGTGTTGACTCAGCGGGGTTCAGCCTCAGCTCCTCCAAAACCCGGCACACACACCTTCCCCTGCACTTCCCACCTGCTTCCTCCTTCCTGCAGTGGAGGAGGGCTCAGGGTTCTCCCCCCTCTGGACGTGGCATCACCTCTTCTGGCCATTTTCCCCTCGGCTGAGCATCCCCAGCAGTGGTCCAGGTCACCCGGGTTCCCCCATCCCTCTGCAGCCATCCCCTGGGGCTTTCAAATCTGCCTGTTCCTGCGAGGGAAACTGAGGCAGGGAAGCCTGCTGTGGCAGCAGCTCAGGCTGGGTGCCAGGGCTGGGTGCTCTGCCCTGCCCTTGCACCCAGGGCAGGGCTGGATCCAGCTACAGGGGTGCAGGGATCCCTGCAGAGGCACCAGGAGCAGCCCCAGTTCCAAACCCTCGTTCCCAAAACCCAGTTATGCCCCCGGGGGTTCCTGTTCCCTTTGAGAGGTTCTTTATTTGCCAGCTTAATTGGTGGTTTTTCACCTCCATATTTACATACCTGGGGGGGACAGGGCAAGAGAAGCTCCCCTGGAAAACCAGCCTGGCTGGGTGCAGCTCGGGATGCAGCAGGATCCAGCCAGGATTCCCTTCCCTGGGGAAAAACCTCCTGCATCATCCCCCCCACCCCCTCACCATGGGACGAGGCATCTGCAGCAACCACAAACAAAGGCCAGGCAAGTCACCTGTGGGGGGCTGGAAGACCCTAAAAGAAGGGGATCCCCTCTCCTGGGCAAAGTGGGGGTCCCCAGCTGGAGCAGGACCCCCCCAAGGCAGGGGGACACAGGGGGGACACGAGCAGGGCTGGGTGTCACAGTGTGTTTATTGTGGGGGTCCTGCCCAGCAGCAGGGACATGGGCACAGGGACATGCAAGGAGGGGACATGAGCCAGCCTTGCTGCTTGGGTTGGTGGCACCACCTGGGCAGCTTCCCACAGCCAGGAGCATCCCGGCCTCCTCAGGGCATCCCATCCACCTGGGAGCATCCTGCTGGCCTGGAGCATCCCACCCACATCCTGCTTGATGCAGCCCACTGGCCTGAGCATCCCATCCTCCTCAGGGAATCCCAACTGCATTGGAGCATCCCATCCACCTGGGAGCATCCCATTCACCTTGGAACATCCCATCCACCTGGGAGCATCCCATCCACCTGGGAGAATCCCACCCACCTGGGAGCATCCCATTCACCTTGGAACATCCCATCCACCTGGGAGCATCCCATCCACCTGGGAGAATCCCACCCACCTGGGAGCATCCCATCCACCTTGGAACAACCCACCCACCTGGGAGCATCCCACCCACCTGGGAGCATCCCATCCACTTTGGAACATCCCATCCACCTTGGAACATCCCATCCACCCAGAGCATCCCATCCACCCTGAGCATCCCATCCACCTCACATCTCCCATCCACCTGGGACCATCCCATCCATCCTGGGAACACCCCACTGTCCTGGGGACACCCCCCT